AATAGAATAGAATAGAATAGAATAGAATAGAATAGAATAGAATAGAATAGAATAGAATAGAATAGAATAGAATAGAATAGAATAGAATAGAATAGAATAGAATAGAATAGAATAGAATAGAATAGAATAGAATAGAATAGAATAGAATAGAATAGAATAGAATAGAATAGAATAGAATAGAATAGAATAGAATAGAATAGAATAGAATAGAATAGAATAGAATAGAATAGAATAGAATAGAATAGAATAGAATAGAATAGAATAGAATAGAATAGAATAGAATAGAATAGAATAGAATAGAATAGAATAGAATAGAATAGAATAGAATAGAATAGAATAGAATAGAATAGAATAGAATAGAATAGAATAGAATAGAATAGAATAGAATAGAATAGAATAGAATAGAATAGAATAGAATAGAATAGAATAGAATAGAATAGAATAGAATAGAATAGAATAGAATAGAATAGAATAGAATAGAATAGAATAGAATAGAATAGAATAGAATAGAATAGAATAGAATAGAATAGAATAGAATAGAATAGAATAGAATAGAATAGAATAGAATAGAATAGAATAGAATAGAAAAGTAATCATTTTTCATCAAACTCTTTATTTAATCTTATTAGTAATATATTAATATTTCATCGCGAGATGACAGAATATTCGAGGTATAAAAATGTCGTAGGGGCTATAAAATGCACTTAAAAATATAAGAATAGAAAGTTTTTTAGGAAATCTCATTTTATGGAGCTAAGGGTTTGTTATTGATATATTTAATTTATTTATTTTTTTTAAATAATATTGCTGGAACTTTTTAAAACTATCATATAATTCCAGGGAAAAAATTAAATCCAACAACCAGCACAAACTTTCTAAAATAACTCCAAATTTTTATATTTATTTTATTTATCAATTGAATCATAATATATAATATTAACAAAATAAATTTAACTTGTACACATCAAATTATAATATATATATAACTTTTACACAACAAAGGAGTTGGTTGTAAGATGATCACTGCCTAATCTATAATCCCTGATGATGAGATCTCTTGATGTCTTACATTATATGCATTATCATATAATGTCATAAGATATTATATGTAAATAAATATATAATTTACTAATATCTACATTTAAGCATTATTTGAATTGACATTGGATATTATATAAATTTTATTATATATATATTAATGTAAAAATACACAATTACAAAACTTTCCTAGTCAGATTAGATATCACAAAAAATCCATACTATATACGGGTGACGAATGTAAAGGGTCTCGAGTTTATAAAATAATAAAAATTAACATTCTAAAAGGCTCAAACCTCTAGAATCAATCTATCAAAGATTTAGAGATATTACTAAAGTTTTATGATCAGTTAATTTCCTTTCAGAGATGGGAAGCTTTTTTTTAAAAAACTCAACCGTTTAGGCTGTTAATCGAAGATACATAGCCCGCTAAATAGCGGACTGTTTAGTAATGAGTAGTACCAGGACATGCCGCTCAATGCGGTAAAGATTTATCTAAAATTTGTAGATATATAAATATTCGATACTTAAAGAATTGAATACGGATAATAAAATATTCGCTTGATATTCGTTTTTTCTAAATAGTCATTTGCCCTGAGATTTAAATTATCTTTCAACCGGACCGGAAGCCCTACCTACCCCATGTTCAAAAATTTATAAAAAACCCATCTTTTTTTTGTTGTTCCTCCGAACCAAAACCGAACCTCCTACATTTCGCTCGTTTACGACCCTTAATCTCATCGTTTATATGCAAAAAAAAAACTTATATTAAGATAAGCTGTAGAATGGGAGGTGAATTCGTGAATCTCTCTCTCCCACCCAAATATAACATGGCGAGCTAGAGCTTAGTAAAAGTTGCGAGACTAATTCAATGCTGGAAAAAATTTGTACAAGACTAAGCCTAAAAAAATACATGCGATACCTGTGACTGTGAAAGAAAATATACTATCCTCACTCATGTGCTCATTCCAAAAATCTATGAATCGCATAGAACATGAATTTCATTTAGTAGTGTAAAAATAATATAAAAGGGTGCGATCAACGAGGTATACGAACTACTAGATTGGCCATTCACTCATTAAATTTATTTAAAAGTGACCATACCTAGGAGTCAGTTGTAGCGCCATCTTAGTGGGTTCACGCGTCAAGCAAACCAAAAAAATGGCGCTAAAGCTGACTCCGGTGTATAGACAATGAATAGCTACCCTATCAATCGCTAACCTAGTAGTAGTATATATATTATACATCACACTGAGCGCAAGGTATTTGATCGATATATAATAAAAACGAATTCTAAATCGACATTCGCATTAAATAGGGGTCCCTTTAGGCATGTTCTAGACGAAATACACAAAGTTTTTTCTGTTATATTTTTTTTTTAACTTCTACTAAACTTTCACCAATTTGGGCGGTAACCTCCTTCATTATCTTTTTTTATTTTATGTTAATTTGACGGTGTTTTATTTGTGAGCCTTTTGGCCCACTTCTCTGCCGTTAACCAATCACTCTTGAGCTCTGCCTGCCCCCTCTGTTTGCTATTCAAAGCCATATTCGATCTAAAGCCTTCTCTTTAGATTGAGAAGTATATGATTTTCGTTCCATGTATTTTAATCGTCTGTCTATTTCCTGGATTGCGTCAGTGGCTGATATTCCAGAAATTAATATTTCTAGAACTTGGCACATTAGTCGTTTTATTCCTCTGTAATTTCTACAATAAATTATCTTCACGATAAAGATCAGAATTGGTTGTTCTGCCTCTGTGGAATTACTTTTCATTTTATTTTTATGTAGAATATTGTACTTTATCTCCTACTGCTTGGAAGATCGTTAGGACTACTTGCTTTATTATTATTCATAATTTTCTGATCTGTTATTTATTGGGAATATAAATGTAATGTCAGAAGATTAAAACTGATAAGCTTCTGGAATATTCTGGTTTATTCATTATCTCTTTTTTTTCTTTTATTATCAGTACTCCATCTCTATTTGAATACTTTAGGAGTGTCATTTCAAGTTTTTCTCATTGTTTGACTAATCTGCAAATTTTATGTCGCTTCCTATTTTCTATGATGTTACTCGTTTTACATGTCTCTTATGACAGCATTTTGGGTTTCAAGCTACCAACTTTTCTGGCTTATTCTCTTCATAATTTTTTCTTTAGCATTTTTCTTTTGTCTTCTTCTTGTATTTGTCACCATATTTTATCGAGTGCCTAATTGACAATTTTAGCAAATCAGTCATCTTGTTTAATTTAATTCTCCTCATATATTGTCAAATCTAAAGAGAGTATATCGTAATCTATTTAATCTTGATGATTTCTTTCTTTCTTTCTTTCTTTCTTTCTTTCTTTCTTTCTTTCTTTCTTTCTTTCTTTCTTTCTTTCTTTCTTTCTTTCTTTCTTTCTTTCTTTCTTTCTTTCTTTCTTTCTTTCTTTCTTTCTTTCTTTCTTCTTTCTTTCTATCCATCTACATCACTATTTACAAAGAATCTATAGTTTCGATATTCGCATTTATAGCAAAAAACTACCTATAATTTATTTAGTTTCCCCTATTGATTTGAGAGGAAATCATAATTTCCCAGTGTTAAATAGTCTTATTTTGCAATATTTTTCTAAATTTTAGAGATAGATTGACAGATATTAAACTGTTAATGATACTTACGGAATTTCCAAAAAAAAAACAAAGATGTGGGCTTGCTTATACAAAAGTTAGTTATAATAAAAAAAATTGGATACTCTCAAAAATTAGAATAAATAATCGCACCAAATGCTATAGATGCGACTAATAATTTTTACAAGATAGTTTATTGGCAAAATTGTTTAGATCAAAAAAGTAGGGTACAATCAAGTTATGGTTATCACCAAGGCGTCTTACCATGAAATTAGTATTATTAATCCCCATATATTTTATTGGACGAACGCACTGTACATGGCTTGCATTTGCCTCTGTAAAGATTAGATAAAAAAACATATTAATTTGATCTGTTCCAAGAACAAAAAAATAGTCTATGCCTAAAGTGTGAAACTGGTTAAAAACTATGAATCATCATCCACCCCCCCCCCTCATATTAAAATCGAAATTCTTTTTAAATATATATATAAGCCCGTTAATAAGAAAAAACTAACCTGAAAAAGTGCTTAAATTTGAACATATTAAAATTTGCGTTTGTGTGCAATTCATTTCGCTTCGAAATAATTGTTATACGCAAAATTAGCACAAAAACGTGACTTAAATTTAATTATGATTATTGATTAGTGATGACGTGTCATTTGATACGCGTTTTATACGAGCATTTCGCGCCATATTTTTTGTTTGTATGCAAATGAAGAGAGAAAATTACAAAAGTGAATTCGAATTATGTAAAGTTATGATTTTTTTTGGAATTTATTTTTATTAATAATTTTATACTAAACAATTTATTTTATTTTTTTTAAAAAAGAAAATGATTTTATTTTTTTATATGATTTGAAAGGAAAGAAAAATATTAAATTAAATTAAAAGGATTTTTTTAATATATATTATTGTAATATACTCGAAAAATTATAGTTTCGGCATTTTAGTCTTTTTTGTACTAATGTTTAAATTTAACACGTTACATGATAATAAACACCGAACTAAAACCCATTATTATCATCCACATAATTTCGATCTTGACACATGTTTCTGTGAATAAAATCCAATCGAGGAATTTGACGATCCCAATCTCCGGAAGTAATTATTATTTTTTTTCTTTCTTTTTATACAATTACTTTTAAATTTACGATTCCTTCCATTCCCCCTTCGTTCTTTTTTCGTTCCTTTTCCACTTTCTTAGAGTGTTTGTTTAACCGGGGCTCGATTTAGAAGATTTTGACGCATAGCCTCTAGATTTTGTTAACAGATGTCCAAACCATTTTAACCATCTAGAAGCAAAAATCTCCGGGGTTGGTATTAAACTTCTTCTTTTTTTTTGGTTTATATATTGGGTGTTAACGACACTGCATTTTTCTTTTCTTTTTTTTAAAAAAATATACTTTAATATATTCTCATCAGAATTTTGGCACATATCACTCAACATTTTAATATAATTTAAATAAGATAAATCGACGACAAGTCAACTTGTTTCATTGTTTAGAAATTCTGAGCCAGTACAACATATCCCTCCTCTAAAACCTATTAGGATAATCGCCGTTAATCAACGCCCTAAAATTGGAAAGAACAAAGATAATGCTTTATGGACATACGCGATTCCCGCGTTAATTATATTCGCCATTTTACTAACCCTGACAACTATCCTATATATCCTACATTTGAAAAAACAAAGAAACGAGGTTCCCAAGTGGAATTTTTCTGGTTCATTATTAAATTTTTATATTCACAAATTGATATATATATATGCAGGGGCTTTAACTAACGGCGGGGAAGGGGTGGGGTGGCATTTGAGGGTCGGAGCCACCTCAAAAAATATTTTGGGGGTGGGCTTTTCTAACGGAATTAAGCTGATTCTGGGTTTTTTGACCAATTTTTCATACTCTTTAGCAGTGATATGTAATTTAAAAGAAAATAATATGTAAATATTTGATAAATCAATCCTTATATTATAATACAAATTATGCTTTAAAATTATACCTAATTATACTCTTTTATTAAAAATTTAATTATTGTCTATTTTTATATATTTATTCTAACATGCTTATAGTTTGCGCACAAATTTTACGTTTCACCGCAGCGTTTTAAAACGCTAATAATCCATTTCAAATGCAATTCGTTTAAATTGGAAATGTTTCCCATTTGTATTTTAAATCATTTAAATTATTTTAAAAAAAACAAAATATCTTGCGTTTTTTTGAAAAGTTTTTTTTTAAATTTGAAGTGATAGCATGGACACAACATCTTCTAAAATAAAGTTAAATAATAATTATATTAAATGATACAATAATATTTTTAGCTTATGGAATTATGATATTACAAAAAAAAAGATTTGCCAAATTAAATATAGGGTATTTTGCAGAGTTGTTAAAGGATCTAGATACTAGATCCTGTATCTAGATATAAAAATGTGGTATCTGTATCTGTATTTAGATAGATTTTTGAATAAAATATCGGTATCTAGATATTATTTTAGACGATGTATCTGTATCTAGATCCACTTAAAAAGTATCTTTTAACAACTCTGGTATTTTGTTTAGAATTTAGAAAACGTTTCATATCGACAACAAAATGAAAGTTAAAGCTTCAAATTTAAACATAGCTGCGTTTACGTTTTTTTTATAATTCGCGTTTTGAAACGCCGCGTTAAAACGTTCAATTTGCGCGCGCTACTTATATTCACATCCCATTTAAAATATATTCCGATGATCCTAAAGCAACACCCCAATTCCTCCCCCCCCTCCTTCCCCAGATAAATCTTGAAAGTTTCATATCTCTGATTGGATTCTCAATATATATTTTTAAAATTTGATGAGAAAATCATGCTCAGTATATAAAGTAGTGTATATTTTAACGAAATTTGTGCCAAAATTAGTCTAGGTATTGTTATAATGTTTTTTTGTTAAAAAAATCATATTTACTTTTAGATAAAAGAGTAATCCCCTCTTTCGTTTACCATTACAATCACGAGATGGATAGGAATTCGCCCAAAGAAACGCGTTACAAGAAATCGCCCCCTCCTCCCAAACTAAATATTCCGCCCGCGAATGAATTCAAGTGTGTTGTTCGCGAGAACCTACATAGCCCGATCGCGAGAAATAATAGCGGTCCAGCTGTGAATCCTGGTTTAGTAAGATTTTAGAGATCGCAAAATAATTTAAATAAGAGATACAATATAAACATATGCAAATTTAACCTGATTCCTTTGTTCATTGTTAAATGCCCGACATTTTATTTTATCTTTTTTTTGTAATATTTTTAAATGTTTTAAAAGATGTTTTTCGGGTTTGTATTTAAAAATATATATATAAGGTGTATAATTTAACAAGGAATTTCCTCTTTAGCAACCTTAAATGTCCTAGGATCTGTTTATTTTTTTAAGGGCAATTTAGTCAGAATTTCTTAGAACTTGATAAAACTCACTCGCCTAAAAATATATAATGATATTAGATTTTGATCATAATATAATTCATCTTATATCTCGTCCCTAGACTCAATGAAATCAGCTAAGAATTTTCGAGGCCGAATTTAGGGAATTAATTGTATCGAATGTATGGGTGTCCAAGTTGCATTTACTAAAATTAATAACCAATTCCCGTTAAATATATTAACAAAGTCGGCGAAAAATATTTGCTATCAAATTTCATTTAACTAGTACAGGTTATTACATCTTAAAAAAAAATGTTAGCAAATAGATATGGCTACTAATCAATTTATAAAATTAATTTAATCCCTTTTTATTGGGAAAATTCTTACCCGCAGGTAATTTCCTAACTGTCGATAAATCGATTGACATGTCGAGTTGCGTATCGAACACCAGCATATACGCGCCAGAATTGGACATCAAAGACGTAATTTCAACCTTATCCGTCAGGGAAGGCGCCAGAAATCCCACGCCTCGGAAAGCCAGCGCGGAAGAGAGCGAGGAAGATCTGTCAAACTTTACGACGATCTCTTCTACTAGCGAAATAGCCAGCGACGCGAAACCAACTTCGAGTAAATTATTCGTTAAAGTACAGAGTTCAGAAACCGGGATAACTTTAAGAGGAAAACCCCTTTAAAATAAATTTACAATAGCCGGAAGGTTCAAAGCGCCTGTTTAATTTTAAAATGTTGATGAATAAAATATAAAATGGATTCATCCCTTATTTTTTATGATTGGGAGAATTGGTGTTGTTTAAACTACCTATCTTTAGTTAACCATAAAACAGCTGAGGCCATATTTTTAACCCAAAATAATTCTAATCAAATCTTCAAGTTGAGGCCAATTTTTTTATAAAGTCTAAAAGCTTGACTTAAGACACAATAGGGATGGATCAAAGTTAAGTCATTTAACAGCACTAGGGAGAATGGAACGAGAGACTGGGGACCGGGGTACATATGAGTTCGATACAATTTATCCAAAAATGTGTCGTTAAACGGCTCCTTTTGAGCAGATTTTTTGAAAGCGGCTGACTCAATATTTTAGCCAGAAAAATTAGTGCCCTAAGTCACGTGATTTCGCTAAATCGATGTCTAGATCTTTGTGCCATCTATGAAGCAAAGTCTTCAGGCTTGCGAAATATTTATTCTGGATAAAATATTGGAGTTCGCCGTTTTTAAAAACCGGCTATCAAATCGAGTCGTTTAACAACACTAGTTAAAAATTTAATTTTTATAGTACTATATTTAAAAAAAAAAAAATTTTTTTTATCGCGTAAAATTTAAAAAAAAAATATTATGTTCGATGAATTTATTTTTTTTTTCTAATATAATTAAGTAACCATACATAGCATATCATGGAAGATTAAACCCTCCTCTTGAAAATGTAAAATATTAATATTTTTATATGAACTGAGGTGTAGGGGTAGGTCGGACCGAGCTAGCTAGGCCCATTTAAACTATTAAAATATAACTTTTTTAAAAAAAAAATACATATATATATGTATCATTTATTTATTTATTTATTGCATTTCATTATTTCTTTATAAGTAAATATCAATTTTTTTAAAGTTTTTTAAACATTTTTCATGCCTTGGATAAATATTTTCTTTAAAATAAAAAAAATAATGTTTATATGTTTTTTCTTATTTATCGCCGACAAATGTTGGTTTCTTATGCGTTGACTTTGATTTTGCAATTTCCCCCTTTTCCATATATTTTTATTTTGGCTTCTTAGAGGTCTTTTTTGCCCCGTGCTTCCTAAAGCACCCCTGATAGCTTTGAAAAAAAAGAAGTATTTTACATTATAAAAGGAAGAGATTAAATAAGGTATAAATTGAGCATTCTTATTTTAATTCTACTAATCAGCTGATTAAGAAATTGTTAAGAGTAATATTTATTTAATCTAATATGAAAACATAGATGTAAGAGTGTTGTTAAGAGGCTCGTTTTGAGTCGATTTTTAAAAACGGCTAAATCAGTATTTTAGCCGGAAAAATATTGCTCTAAGCCTAGGGATTTCTATAATATATGTCTAGACCTTTGTTCCGTTCTATGAACAAAATCTTCAGGCTTGCCTAATATTTTTCTGGATAAAATATTGAGTTCTTCTCTTCTCTTCTCTTCTCTTCTCTTCTCTTCTCTTCTCTTCTCTTCTCTTCTCTTCTCTTCTTATTTGATGCAAAGCCTCTACCTAAAATTAAAATTATGATTTCCTTTTTTCACTTTAAACTAATATAGGTTTTACAACCATTTTTTTTTTTTTCGTAGCGAAAAAATATGTATCTTCAAGTGTCAAGAGTCGAGATAACGCAGAATCGCCTACTTTTTCGAGCAGCAGTGGAGGAGCCATCAATTCCACTTTTTCTAAGGATTGGGAGAGCGACGAATCCACAGGAAGGATGTATTTCGCCGAGATCGATAGGCGTATCCATAAAAATACTGATAAAGAAATTCGCGAGATAGCTAAAGTATATATATATATAAATATATATTTGAACGATTTAGAATTAATGTAGGACTAATGATTTTTGCTAGTAGCTGGTAGAAAATGCTTGGAGAATCTATTCGCCAAATCTAGATGCTTACGTTATATTATTTTTTACCTCAAATCTTAATCGTCGGGCTATGCCTCTTATTCATATTTATATTAACTTTTTGAGGTTATTTTTTGTTTTATTTGGCTTGTATAGATTACGTTATTTATTTTTTTGAGGGGAGTATGTCGTTTTTGTGACTTCGGATATTTTTATAGTTTGATATTTTGGCTAATAAAAGTCAAATAAAATATTTTTCGAATATAAATTATGGTTTATTTACACTTAATATTTTAGAATTATCATTTTTCTTATTTTTCCAAATTAATCTATAAGGATACTAGTAAAAGTCCCATCATATCTGAGAATCTCTCACCCCGATATTTAGAGAAATCTAAATTACCCCCTAAGAAAAATAAAAGTAACGTTGGATCTTCGACTGGTTCAACTTCCACCAAATCTTCCAAAATTTCTTCTGGCGGTTCCTCGGATAACACCAAATCCACTTAGAAAGTTGTATCAAATTTTGAATTTTTTTATTTTTTATTTTGGTTGTAAAAAAATTGTGATAATGCGTTTTCTTGTATATATACGATTGTTATATATAATTATATAATTATATAATTTTATTTTTATATATATTAAAAATAAATGAATGTATACGTTCATTTATTTTGGAAGATTTTATTTGATAAAATTTCAAGGGATAAAAAGTCCTTGTGATATCACATGACTTTACCTCAACTCATCATTTGGCGTGTGATAACCCAAGACGGAAAAATCAATTGATATAGTTTTTGGAGGGCAAAATTATTCAAAGTTTCCTATAATGAGACGTATCTCCTAAAATCTTAGGACCCCCAAAAAAAATATAATACTACCTAGGGTGTCCTACCCACCCATAATTTAGGGTCGCTATAACTGTAAAAAGGTATAGTAATGTGTGTATTTATAGGGTTAGATTAGGAAGGTTAGGTTTAGGGTTAGGGTTAGGGAAGTTAGGGTTATTTTTTTTATTGTTTAATATAAGATAATTCATGCCCCATATTTAGTATTTGCTAACTCAATACTTCGTCCAGAAAAATATTAGCAAAGCCTGAGGAGATTTTTGCTCGTAGAAGCAACGAAGGTTCTAGACATAATATTATCGAAACCTTGAGCCTTTGGGCAACATTATTCTGGCTAAAAATATTAAGTCAGCTGTTATAAAAAAAAGAATCGGCTCAAAACGAGCCGTTTAACAACACTACCCATATTTATATTTTTTTTTGGTTAAAATAAGGCAAAATATCCATTGATTTTAAAAGGGAGGGGGAAATTTCCTACATCTAATTATTTCTAATTTGTTTCAAAAAGTGGAAGAAAAAAAAATTACCAACATTTGGGTGCCAACATTTTAAAGGGGGATTGATCCCATAAGTGTCTCCATGTCATTTTTGAGGAGGGTTTTACCGTAGACAAAGGGTCATCTTGGAAATTTTCTTTTCCAATTTGGGAATCCATTCCTCACACGTGTGATCTTCATTCCTGCTTATTAATTTAGTCCCCTTTTCTATAGCGTTTATTTTTTTTTTACCGTAAGAGAATTAGCGGGAGATGTTTTCTTTTTAAAATGGTTTCCTCTATGTATTTGTAGCCATTTGAATTTATAAAATAATATACATTTTTTTTATAACTCTTGAAGCTGGCTAAAATGAAAAATAATTTTGCATAACAAAAAAAAACCCATAGAAGTTGTGATATTAGATGTTCTTTTTTTTTATAAATATATTGGCCTAATAAGTATGTATAATTTAAAAATTTAACTCTTCACCACTCGACAAAAAAAAACATAAAATATATATTTAATATGACCAAAAAAGAAAGAAAGAAAGAAAGAAAGAAAGAAAGAAAGAAAGAAAGAAAGAAAGAAAGAAAGAAAGAAAGAAAGAAAGAAAGAAAGAAAGAAAGAAAGAAAGAAAGAAAGAAAGAAAGAAAGAAAGAAAGAAAGAAAGAAAGAAAGAAAGAAAGAAAGAAAAAAAGAAAAAAAAGAAGAAAGAGTAAGTCTAGCAAAGTTCTTTGGAGAGAAGGCAGCCATTTGAAGCCTATATAATTTAGTTATAATTTATCTTTAAATTATTGATTCAATCTCTATCTAAATCAAAATTATCTCTTACATACTTTTTTTTTAATATAGTTAAATAAAAATGATTTATTTTAAAAAAAATATAATGTAATATTTAAGAATTTTTTAGCTGAGGTTTTCAAAAAAAAATTTGATTTTTTTTTTGAAAATGTATGTTTAATATACATACCTTTATAATTAACTTAAAATATAAAATTTATTTTTATTTTAGTTTTTTAAAAAATGTAAATCTTCATGTATAATAAATAATGATAAAAATATTTTTATTATTATAAAGTTTTATGAATTTTTATATAATTATTTAATAACTATTTTTGAAATTATTTATGATTTGATATTAATAAAAATATTTAAAGAAAAGAAAAGAAAAGAAAAGAAAAGAAAAGAAAAGAAAAGAAAAGAAAAGAAAAGAAAAGAAAAGAAAAGAAAAGAAAAGAAAAGAAAAGAAAAGAAAAGAAAAGAAAAGAAAAGAAAAGAAAAGAAAAAGGAAGGCAGGGCAAATCTAGGAAAGCTCCTTGGAAGGTAAGCTGCCGTTGAAGCTGTTGTAGTTTTCTTTGAGAATATCTATGATGACCTTTGAATAAAACCCTTTTTGAGATCCCAAATCCTGGAAGAAGAACCTATTGATAAATAATTAACAGTAGTGAGATATCTTTAAGATTTTCTCCTCTAAATTCCATTTTTTTTTTCTTTAGCAAAAAATCGAATTATTGTCGCATTCAGTAAATGATTTAATTTTCTCTAATGTTCTTTCTCCTTTTTGACACCTTTATATTATGCCTAATCAAATCGTTACATTGCTATTAGTAAATTTAAATTACACGTAGTTGTTAAACGGCTCGTTTTGAGCCGATATTTTTATAAATAGCTAACTCGATATTTTAGCCAGAAAAATATTGCCTAAGTCTCAAGATTTCGACAATATACGTCTGGACCTTTGTGT